GCTTTCTGTGAAGCCCAGCAGGTGCGACTGCTAATGATTAGAATCAGGACTGTCAAAAAAGACAGCATTCATTGTAAACATGTAAATGAAGCCATATCTTGTTTAGGAAGGTTCTAGAATCCTGTTCATTCTAAATCGTTAAGATTGTGAAGATTGTTGTAGGTTCTTCAGTTCATAGTCAAAGAATTTGTGAGTACAGTAAGTGTTTTTGATTGTCATGCTGTTTTCATTGTCATTCATCTCAAAGCTAAAGATAAAGAACTTACTGTAGAACAATAAAACAAAAATTAAATTGATCAAAAGTGACAGTAAAGACATTTATTATGTTACAAAAGCTTTCTGTTTCAAATAAATTCTGTTTTTTGAATTTTCTATTCTCATCCTGAAATATCCTGCAAAAAATGTAACACTATTTTCAACATTGATAATAATAAGAAACGCTTCTTGAGAACCAAATCAGCATATTAGAATGATTTCTGAAGGATCGTGTGACACTGAAGACTGGAGTAATGATGCTGAAAATTCAGCTTTGCCATCACAGGAATAAATTACAATTTAATATATATATATATTAAAATAGATAACATATAATTGTATTAATTGTAATAACATGTCACCATAACTTTTTAACTGTAATTTTGAAGTAAAATACAGTCTAAAAGCAACCTTGGTGAGCATAAGAGATTAAAAAAAATCTTACTGACCCCAAACTTTTGAATGCTTCTATATAATCTGATGCATAGGCTATTTGTGTTTATTAGTTTTTGAAATTATTGACACTGAACATGGTGCTGATCTAGGAGACCTGTGGTGGCTTGAACATGTCACCATAACTGTTTTAACTGTAATTTTGAAGTAAAATACAGTCTAAAAGCAACCTTGGTGAGCATAAGAGATAAAAAAAAATCTTACTGACCCCAAACTTTTGAATGCTTCTATATAATCTGATGCATAGGCTATTTGTGTTTATTAGTTTTTGAAATTATTGAAACTGAACATGGTGCTGATCTAGGAAACCTGTGGTGGCTTGTAAATGTCAGCTGTCAGCTATGGACAAAATAAAAAAATATTATTTTGTCCATAGTGTTTGTGCATATGCATGACAGTTGGCTCAGGATCTTGCATATCTACATTCTTAGTGTAAAGTATATCAGATGAAAATGTGCCCCTCCCCCCCAGTAATGTTATTTTAATGATTTCTAATGTTCAGAGAGAAACTAATGTTTTTGTGTTTTTTTTGTGTGTGCTGATTTTGGGAAGGTAGGATATCTGTTGAGAGCTAAGAGATGTATTCTTTAAATGATATCTGACAGTATAATTAAATGAGTCAAAATTTAACACGCACATAAGAGGAACTTTATTAATGACAGTCATTCTTATTCTGTGGCAATCATCTGAGCTTTCTGTGAAGCCCAGCAGGTGCGACTGCTAATGATTAGAATCAGGACTGTCAAAAAAGACAGCATTCATTGTAAACATGTAAATGAAGCCATATCTTGTTTAGGAAGGTTCTAGAATCCTGTTCATTCTAAATCGTTAAGATTGTGAAGATTGTTGTAGGTTCTTCAGTTCATAGTCAAAGAATTTGTGAGTACAGTAAGTGTTTTTGATTGTCATGCTGTTTTCATTGTCATTCATCTCAAAGCTAAAGATAAAGAACTTACTGTAGAACAATAAAACAAAATAAAATGGAGTCTAAAATTAAAACAAAATTTAATCTGAAATATAAAGGTCAAATAAAATAACACATTATTTAGAGAGGTGTAGTTGAGTAATATTTATATGTAATGCATTATATAATTAGAAGTAAATTAAAAGGAAAAGCAGTGAGGACTGAACTTTTTAAAGATGGAATGTTTCCAAGTTGCTTCAGCCTGTCTAGTCATCCCGAAACTGCAGAATGCAGTCAGACCAGAATGTCTTTCCTTCTGCCATACCTGTCTTGCTTCTGTAACCATGTTACATTTAAGAAAACAAAAAGCTATTTCTGGAACTATTGTTTGGATTTAGAAGTCATTATCAGCGGTCTTCCATTCAAATGTTGTACCTTGATTGCACGGAATCAAGTCAGTTTTTTCATACTAGCACTGGGAAACAAATGAGCTGGCCTTGTTTTTTTCCCTACTACGGAGCCAATGCAAATAGAGTCATGTTGAGGTGTTGTTTCCTAGAGGCTGTACACAGTCCCTGGTGTCATCATGCAAAATGTGTTGTCTCTTTTATCTCTTAACTAGTTGTTTATGCGAGAGAGCGATGGATACAAAAGGGAGAGCGAGAGAGATAGAGAGAAAATAGGGTTTTAGCCTAAGGTTTACTGAAATCCTACAGGCAAATGATTGTACTGAATTTCCATTTGATACCCAGAGCGGTTCTTCAGACGGAATGCCAGTATATCTGGCAGGCCTGACCAAGCTGATTGGGCAGCTCATTCTCATGTTCAAAGTCACAGGTGTATGCCCAAAGGCTATTAATTAACATCTCTACCTCATTATTTTTCATAATTAGAATATATTCCAGTGATATTCCTCTGTGCAGAATCCAGGCATGCGCTTTCTCAAAGCCTTCAATGTATTGAAGCCCAAACAACTTTTTTTGGTTTGTTCCTGATTGTCCCATATTTTTTTCTTTCAAAGGTTGTTTTTAACTTTTAATATTTTATATAAACTCTGTGCAATCATATGCACTAACCTTATTTTTTTAGAGTAAATTGGGATATATTGCCACCTGCTGGAGAACGTATAAAACTTTTTTTTAATTAATAATTCAATTTATTTAATTACAGTTTTAATACAGGTTTAATGTCTTTAATAGAAACCTGCATGCCTACATGATATTCTTATGAATAAGAAAATGCTGTTCTAATTAATAATAATAATAATAATATAATGTGTTTAATATAGACACTGGAATGTCAAGTGGGGTTATTTTGGAATTCTTGTGAATCACACTTTGCAGTTGTGATCAAACTTGATTTGTAACTTTTTAAGGAAGCAACTTCCTTTATCCACTTTCTCTGTTTGATGGAGAAACTGAATGCCAATAAACTAACAAACCTGACCAGAATGATGAGACATTTTATTGCTTTTTGTTTATTTACATTGTACTGTATTTCCTAATTTCTGATCCAAGCTCATCTCTTTGGCCATGTAAAATAATACTGAAGCTGTTAGGGGGGTGTTACTGTATTTTGGCCAGTAACTTTAGTAGAGATGCTGTTTCAGGATATATTCGGCAGACTTCAATCTAACAAATAGTCTTCTTGTCCAAATCATGCCAGATATCTAAATTGTAGTCCATGCAGAGTTATAAAGAACCATGTTCTCAACTGTTTGGTGATATATTCAGTATTTTGACCAAAGAAGGGAAAAGCTTTAACGATTTAATATGACCCTGAGATTCTATTCTTATGACACACTATTTGTTTTCTTTAACCACTTCCTGTTCTAGCCATTCTTGTTTGAAACTTTGTATTGTTAGCACTTTTCATGTTATTGCCCCCTTAAGATGAATCAATTTGTTGTATTTGTACGTTCCTTTAGATAAAACTGTCTAAATAAATAAATAAATACCTTCATACAAAAATAAAGATTAGATTGAGATTTTTGGAAACTGCGACCTCGTGTGGTGGTCTTTGAGAATGACACACCACTTCATGTCTAGTTTGATACAGAACATTACTCCAGGCTTTTTACCTACAGCTAATGAAATAAAGTCTTCTTCATATTGAAATATTTTCACTTTCAGAGTCATATTCCCATTTTGTTTGCTTTATTGCAAAGCAGATTTTTATTTTATGATATGTTTTTGAAACACCATCAAAAAATAACTAATAATTATGTAGGTTAGGTTTTACCCTTTTTCCATCTAATGCTTTATCAATAAGATTTAGACATTGTCTGAAAAAAGTCTCTGTCCGTCTGCAGCCTTTTGCATTATTAGTTGAGTCCTCACTTCGTCCGACATGACAGCGTGACGGCGATGACACAGTCCACCTCTCGCGCCTTTTCCAGCACCTATCTTTGCCTAACAATTAACGCCCAGCTCGTCCCCGACTGACACTACATCGGAAAAGCGGCCCGCGAGTCTCCTCCCTCCCTTTTTTCCGCCGTTCTCCATTTTCCTTCTGTTAATTTCCGCCGTCACCGTTTTCAGTCACGCCGGAGCTCTTCCCCTGGCTGCTTGAGCCCCTTTCCTCCTGTCAAGCTGCCTGGAGGTTTCCTTGTCAGCGGCTAGCAGGGAGGAGCTGCCTCCTGGAGATGTTCATTTGGAGAGGCGAGCTGACAGGCCTGACAACCCGTCCCCACAGGGCTTTTGTCATGTGATTCCAGGCTCCCCGCGGGTTCTCTCAAGCACTCCTTTATCCATCCATACAAATGAAGTGATGGACTCTTTCTCTCTCATCTGTTTTTTCTTTCTTTTTCTTACCAGCCAATCTGCATACCACAGCATAGACAAAGACGGACCACTTTCCCTCCCCTCTCACAGACAGACTCAAGGCAGACTTTCTTAACAGGCTTTGGAGATTAACACTGCTTGCTCCCTGTTTCTGGGGTTTTAATGCTCCGGTATTAAATTAACTGACTCACGCTGGCTATAATTTTTACTCTTTCACAATCAGCCAGCTCCCATCACTCTGAAAGAGACGAAACGTCCGCCTCTCTATGCTAAGAATGGTCCCCTAAATAATGAGTCTTCTGGATTATTCAGTGTCTGCAAGATTGTATCTGAGTGCTTGTACAGTTTGATGATATGAACCAGTTTCCACCATGCTTTGTCATTAAATAAATGTTCCTGGTTCTATATGAATAAAGCTCAATCGACAGCATTTGTGGTGTTGATCACCACTAAAAAAATAAATAAATACATTTAAACTTGTTCCCTTCATCTGCAAAATCATTTGCAAACATTATGCAACAAAACATTATTGAGATTAAAAATTAATGAATGCAGAAGACTCCTTTTTTTTTTAAGTAACATCGTTAACTGTTTGTTTTCAACAGGTACAAGCGACCCATTCGTCAAATTCAAATTAGATGGCAAAAACATCTACAAAAGCAAAGTTGTGAACAAGAACCTGAATCCCATCTGGAATGAATTATTTTCCTTTCCCATCAGAGACCTCGATCAGACTCTTCATCTTAAGGTTTGTGAAGTGTTTACAGTATTACATATTTAAAAAAACTGTTGAATTATTAACTTCAGTATCTCTTTTATTAATTCTAGTGTAAAAAAACAAAAAAAACAATCTCAGAGTTGGAGGGAGTTTTGTTGGAAAATTGTAATTCATTTTTATTACACCAGACCAAAAAAAAAAGTAGACAATGTGGTGATTTATGCTCTAAACATTATCACATCTTTTTTGAGATGCATTCAAATCAAACCTGCTTATCAGGGAATTTATAAAGATTATATCTTATTTTTATATATATCGGTTCATTGTACTCTGTTTGGGACAAATATTTGTTCAAAATAATTTATTCAGAATATGTAAACAAAAAATAATACATTCGAAACACCTAATAGGGAAGAATTTATTAATGTCATGAAAACTACTTGTTTTTAATGTATATTATTTTAAACAAATGTGAACAAAATGGATTGTTTCCCTATTGTTGTAACTAAAGAAAATAATCTATGTTTGTGCATTTTTTTCTTACATATTTATTTTACATTTAAATAATTTGATTGTATAAAAAATATGGTATGTAAACACAATATAAACTTTTGTAACGCTAATAGTCATCATCATCTCACAATTATGACTGATGCAGGTATATGATCGTGACCTCAGATCCAATGACTTCATGGGATCAAGCAGCTTTCCTCTCTATAAACTGGAGTTGGACAGGTGAGGAAAGCTTTGTCATGAGATTGTGCTGGTAAAGTTTCTCTGATCATTACCTCAAAGAATTTCTTCTTAGAATTCACAAGTTTTGTGAATTTGCTGTCTGCAGAATAATTCCAATGGCACTAACTTTGGAGGACCCCAACAGTGTGGAGACTGATATGGGAGTGATCATTCTCGAGGCCTGCCTGACCATCAGAGAGGAACCTGCCAAACGAAATGTACGGCCCCTAAAAAAACACTTATTTTAGTGGGAAGAGTCAAGTGGTTTTCTAACATAATTTTCATTTGTCATTGATTTTTCAGAAGTGGCTACTAAGAAGAAGGGGAAGCTTTAATAAGGTATGTTATTCTATATATTGACCATATGACTTCTGTTCAGGTGTTCCATCCGCCTACAAGAATAAAAAGGTACCAGGCCGAAATACACAGAATACATTGTTTAAAAGCACTAAACCACAATCTTATTTATTAAAAATATATATCACATCTGTCCACTGGAGGGCAGTAGATCCTCACCATCTTCCCCACAAACACTTCACTGATGTTATGTACATTTACTTTACTTTTCTTTCACTTTCACTTAGTTAAAAATTCCAGAACTTCAACAGAGCGAGAAACTTTTGTTTGTGGCTGCGGCTGTCTGATGCGCTGAAGCAATCCATGATTTCCAAAGTAAATGTATCACTGTGATTTTAACAAAGCACAAATCTGTCTTGCATTTTGTGCAGGTCAGTTCATAGATGGCAGTTTATTTACCTCGCAGCGGTAAGCAAATAGCTTTTATTGTTCAAGGCCGTTCAAAACTTGCAATTTAAGATTTCTCTGAACAAAATCTCTGCTGCAGTCTACTGTAGAGTGGGGTGCCATCGCAGATAATTTACTTTTATTATACTGTATTTATGCCCAGCGTTGAATTTTATATCAGTTCAACTGAAGCATTAAAGAATAAAAGTCTGTATACTATATAAGTTATGGCCTGTTTGGACTATAAATACATAATATTAACAAGAACTCATTTTACAAGTTTAGATATGACTCGTTAGATTTGTAGACAAAGTCTCGTCTTAAAAAGGTGAATCTTAAAAATATCACTCCCAAATTAAAGTTAAACAATAAATAAATGATAGTAAGAAAGAAAGAAAGAAAAATATTTTGTGTAAAGAGAACAAAGGCTACTTTTGGGATTATTAAGATTTTTAGATTGTGACTACTTTCATGACATTTTGTACATTTTAGCCTCAAATTATTGTTAATACAGTAATAAAAACCACCCTGTGTGGACTATATATATATACAGTGGGTACGGAAAGTATTCAGACCCCCTTACTTGTTCTATTAGAATGAGCATACATTTTAGTGCTGAACTTTAAAATGCATGTTACAAATGTTACAATTTAAATGTCAATTTCAAAACAAAATAGAAATGTATACAATTTAAAATATGATTTGCATTTGAGAAATGCAAATGTATTTTTTGGGAATTTGACACGGTGGGTTAAATGTCCTTAAATGAATTACCGGTATGTGGCAATGCAAAACATCCTTTCTTGCTGCTTTCATTTGATTTTAGGGTCAAATGTCCCAAACATTTAAGCGAGCCAGTTTTTGAGAGATGGGCACCTAGATTTTATGATCAGGTATAGATCAGTGTGTGTTTTGTTGGTGTTTCCACCACAGTGTGTCCTCCGCCAAAACAACTGAGATCGAGTTCTATTTGACACCTATCAGTAGAGACGGAACATGTCTCTCATTTCTTACCTCTCCTCCTCTATCACACTTCCTTCTTCACAGCCATGCCACACTGTCTTTGAGATGGAAACGGGCAGCAGTATTGGCACATAGCATGTGGTTATTTTTCCTGACAGTGTCTGGAGTGTGTGTGTGTGTTTGTGTGTGTGTGTAGTCTTTGAGGCACTATGCCAGTGTAAGATGCTGAGGATATGTGTGATGGCTCATTCCCAGGCATGGTGAGCTATAACCCAGATGTTGGGATGTACTATCACAGCTGTGGACGGACAGCACTGAAGCTCTAGCCAAATGGGTACGGCTTTGGGCTTGTCCCCTTGTCCCCATGCTGCTCCACCATATGGAGGCAATCCCCCAGCTCTTTTAGCACCAGGAATAGCCTCTCTTTAGGGGCCACTTACTCTTAAGCGGAATTGTTTTATTGGCCACGCCGATCACAAATTTGTCCAAAATAAACACTTGGGAAGGCTTGGCTTGGATGGATAATATATTTCTCTCTCCACTCCCTCTATAACTACCCCCCTTATCCCTCGCTCTCTCTCTTTAAAGAGGCTTGTTTATGGAGATGTGGCCATTACATTAAATGTTAATGCTGGTTTGTCTGCTGTTCCGTGTCTGTGTGTGTGATTCTAATGGAGCAAAGGCTCAGTCACACTCTCTGAGCAGCCAGGTGGGAAAACAGCTCTCTGGTCTGTGATTACTGGCAGAACAGACCAGCCTCTTCCTGATGCTGTGTTTTTTTGAAAGTGCAGGGCTATCAACCTGCAAGTCATCTTTGTACTGTGTACTTATCCATCTGCAGTCTTGTTGATGGACCTGTTTTTTCACTCCGTGGTGCTGGGATCACCTGCACATTTCATCTAGCGGTTTTTAGAAGCTTTTATTTCATAATATATTTTGTTACAAAAACGGAAATATAAGTTTATTTGCAATAAGTCTTCTTTTATTAAGATGCCACATTTATTTACAGTAGGAGAAGATCCCTGCTTAAATGTTTTATTTGTCCCTTTGCTTTTACTAGCAAATTTGAACACTGACAGACCTTTTCTGAAATTAATTAGTTTATTCAGCAAGGACACATTCAAGTGATCAAAAGTGACAGTGAAGACATTTATAATGTTACGAAAGATTTCTATTTCAAGTAAAGACTGTGCTGTTGAACTTTCTGTTTATCAGAGAATCCTAAATATGTATCATGGTTTCCACAAAAATATTATGCAGAACAACTGTTTTAAACATTGATAATAAGATATGTTGCTTGAGCACCAAATCTGCTGAAAATCCAGCTTTGCCATCGCACTAATAATTTACATTTTAAAATATAAAACGGTTATTTAAAAATTTAATAATAATATTTTACACTTTTACCCTTCTTACTGTTTTTCTTTTATCAAATATATGCAAAACGTGATTCACATTTTTTTTTTCAGGAATAGCTGGAAACTATACATGGCATTTATAAATTCATATCTGCACTATTTCTGTAAAATGATGGCATATGATGAAAAACATTTCTTTACAGTACAAACATTTCTTCACTTTTCCAGGGCTATCACAAGTCATTCTCGCAATTTCATCAAAATCTCATCTATCTGAGCCAAGTATAATATGTTACCTTGGTAACATATTATGTTGTTGGTTTATGTCTTGGTTTAAGTCACCAGAATTTGTAGCAACGACGTTAAATACACAGAAAACTGAATGTTTAAGTTTGCAAATTGTAAAAGCATGTTTAGGATAAACAAATGTAAGATGAACCGGGAATGAAGCATTGGCCTAAACTAGTAGATTTTTGTATGTGTTGGCTGTTCCAGGGACAGCCAGTTAGCCAGGCGCAGGTTGGGCGGTTCACATGCGGAAAGAAGAATCAGGTTTGGACTGGAATTTACACCGTCATCCTGGTTGAAGGCCAAGACATGCCCGACTGCGGTCAGGGAGACGTCTACGCACGCTTCAGAGTGGGTGACCAGAGGGTCAGGAGCAAGGTGAGAGCTTTCTTCACTTTTCCAGGGCTATCACAAGTCATTCTCGCAATTTCATCAAAATCTCATCTATCTGAGCCAAGTATAATATGTTACCTTGGTAACATATTTAAGTCACCAGAATTTGTAGCAACGACGTTAAATACACAGAAAACTGAATGTTTAAGTTTGCAAATTGTAAAAGCATGTTTAGGATAAACAAATGTAAGATGAACCGGGAATGAAGCATTGGCCTAAACTAGTAGATTTTTGTATGTGTTGGCTGTTCCAGGGACAGCCAGTTAGCCAGGCGCAGGTTGGGCGGTTCACATGCGGAAAGAAGAATCAGGTTTGGACTGGAATTTACACCGTCATCCTGGTTGAAGGCCAAGACATGCCCGACTGCGGTCAGGGAGACGTCTACGCACGCTTCAGAGTGGGAGACCAGAGGGTCAGGAGCAAGGTGAGAGCATCCCTCTCTCCCTTCATCTTTTCGCTTCTCTAGCTTTCTCTTTTTGCAGTGCTCATTACATCATCGCAGTTTGGCTCATCTCTTTCTTTGTTTCTAAACCTCTGTCCTGTGTTTCTCTCAATACCTCATTAAACCCTTCCCTCCTCCCCTTCCTCCTCCCATACTTTCTTAGTAGTTCACATACCTCACTTTAGATATTCCCATCCACTTTACACACATTCCTTTCTCCTCCTCCCCCTCTTTCAAAATCACTTCTCCCAGGCTTCACTGCTCTGGTGACAGAGAAGGCTACTCATTAGATCGGCCGTGTCTGGCAGGGCGTCTCTCCTGATGCTTCTGTTACCATGTCTTATTCGGCTCATTTGCATACCCAGAATGCCTTGCTCATCTACCTTCCCCCTCAATGGTTCCAATCAGCTAGTCTTGTATTCTCATGTCATCTTTTTTATAGAGCCCCCTGGCTCTGTTTGGGCATGTTTGCTTGTTGAACAAAACTAGTTCTAATTGGATGCTGTCAGAGTTTATAATCCCAGAGAGAAGAGAGGATGTGTTCTCCAGAAGACGGCTGCCCCTCCTCCACCACATGTCTTATTGAAGTCTTACTGAATAAAGCTTAATACACCTGTCATGTTAGCTGTCAGAGTTTTGAGAGTGCCTTAAAATTGACACAACTTCCTCTCTCTCTCTCTCTCCTTCTTGTCTATCTTTCTGTCTCAGAATCTGTGTATTAAGGCAAACCCGCAGTGGAGAGAGTCTTTCGACTTTAACCAGTTCCAGGATGCTCAGGAGAATCTCGTGGTGGAGGTTTGCTGCAAGAGGGGCAGGAAATCAGAGGAGTGCTGGGGAGTGTAAGTTTGCTGGAGCGACACTAAAACTTGTAAACTTTCAAAACAGTATGCAAAGGGTTAGTTCACCCAAAAATGAAAATTAGCCCATGAATTACTCACCCTCAAGACATCCTAGGTGTATACGACTTTCTTCTTTCAGACGAATCCAGTCGGAGTTATATAAAACATTTACTTTGATCTTCCAAGCTGTTTAATGGCAGTCAGCGGGTGTTGCAGTTCATCAGTCCAAAAGAAGTGAAATAAAGAGCATCCATCCATAATAAAAAAGTGCCTCACACGGCTCCGGGGGGGTGAACAAAGGCC